ACCGGTGTTTGTCCCGAACGAAGCGGGCGTTAACGTCAGCAATGGTGCTTTCGGGCTTGGTCTATCCTGAGCAATAATAATAATAATAATAATATAATAATAATAATAATAATAATATAATAATAATAATAATAATAATAATAATATAATAATAATAATAATAATAATAATAATAATAGATAAATAGATAGATAGATAGATAAATAGATAAATAGATAAATAGATAATAGATAGATAGATAGATAAATAGATAAATAGATAGATAGATAGATAGATAATAGATATAGATAAATAGATAGATAGATAAATAGATAGATAGATAAATAGATATAGATAAATAGATAAATAGATAAATAATAGATAGATAAATAAATAGATAAATAAATAGATAGATAAATAGATAGATAGATAATAGATAGATAGATAAATAGATAGATAAATAGATAGATAAATAGATAAATAAATAGATAGATAGATAAATAGATAGATAGATAAATAGATAGATAGATAAATAGATAGATAGATAGATAGATAAATAGATAGATAGATAAATAGATAAATAGATAAATAGATAGATAGATAGATATATAGATAGATAGATAAATAAATAGATAGATAAATAGATAGATAGATAATATATAGATAGATAGATTAGATAGATAGATAGATAGATAGATAGATAGATAAATAGTAGATAGATAAATAGATAATAGATAGATAGATAGATAGATAGATAGATAGATAAATAGATAAATAGATAGATAGATAGATAGATAGATAACTAGATAAATAGATAGATAGATAGATAGATAGATAGATAGATAGATAGATAGATAGATAGATAGATAGATAGATAGATAGATGCTAAACATGGGTGCAGTACGCAAAGAAATGATCCGCACCAAAAAAAGCGCCGTTCACGTGACGCGACCTACAGACGACTATTGGGTAGCAAGGAAAAGGAGCGCGATGACCATAAACACTTGCACCGCCAAGCCATTTTAAAAGCGTAAGAAACTACAGTGCCTTATTTATTTATGTATTCATTTATTTGTTTATTTTTATATCTGTCATTCATTTTGTGATAGTGGTAACCTGCGAAGTGGCTCCGGCATATCGAAACTTTACCTGCACGCTGTCCTGAGCTTCATTATATATATAAAGGCAGAAAGTTTTAAGACTTTCCCAGACTTTCCCAAAAGGCTTTCCCAAACTCGTGTACAGGTTGTTGGAGAATGAAAAGTGTGAATGAATGGGCCTTTTACAGCGTTTATTCGCGCATAGTGTGTGCGCTTCTTTGAACGAGTGGCGTTTTATTCTGTTCAGCCGCTCCGTGCAAGCGAGAACAAGCAAGAAAATGAAATAAAATAAAGCAGAAGCAAGCAGCGGATCTTTCGTTTTTCCGGAGGATTCAGAACTGTCAGAAGGAGCTTGAGCTCCCTCCGCTGACGGAGACATTCGCAAGCTCTTGTATTGCTAGCTCAACAAAAAATGCACGAAAAAACATCTGAAAAACGAATGAATTGCATGGCCCGAACGATCGCAGATGCGTCTATTGGCCCTGGATGATTCGTGTACAGGTTCAGATTTTCCTTTGTCTATATTTTCGAAGAAAGGCATGCGCAGCTTCGCGTATTATTAGCCGAACTGAACGGGCCATGAATGGCGTTGCTTCTTTTGCATAAGCCTTGGTCTACAAAGCGTACAGGGCGAGTCGGCAGACGGTCCTCCTTCCGCAGCTTTGTTTCTCGAGCGATTGGATATTCACATGAAAAAAAAAAACGGACTGGAAATCAGGCGCAGGCATTTCGCCACTGCTCACTGCTTCCAAAAGTTCCTTCTGTGTGCTTTTGGCATATCTAGAGAGCCCGTGAAACGGTATGCAGTTATACAAAGGGGAATCGATATCCAGTAACGAAGCCGTTTTTAACGCGACGCCACACGAATTTATCCATACGAATTTATCAGAGAGAGTACCCTTCGGTGAGTCCGGGGATCGAACCTGGGACCGACGCATTTTCTGGGGTGGTTGCTGTGCCAACTGAACTGACCAGAAAACTAGCAAATGGTTGTGCGAGTACGAGTTAATCGACAACCTGAAATTAAGGCACGGACACAGATTATTGGAACTTATTCTGAACTATTTCGCTTTCCCCTTCAATAATACTAAAATATTATCTGAGGTTTTACGTCCCAGAACTACGATATGATTATTAGAGGCGCTATAATGAAGGGCTCCGGAAACTTTGGCCATCTGGTGTGTTCTTTGGCGTGCACTGACATAACGCAGTACACGACGGCTTTTGCCATTTCTTCTCCATCAATATGCAACCGCCGCAGCGGAATCGAACCCGCGACCTGCATGTCGGCTTTCGCTTTCTGGTCGTCTTAGGTGAGTGCATGAGGGAGCATCTGAGTTTTACAGCGAGAGCTCTTACGAGATCACAAGGGTTACGCGCGCCGTAGTTGTCCGCCGCCACCGGTGTCCGTAACCACAATCACGCGAAGTAAGAAAAAAAACTTTAAGAAAAAAAAACTTTAAGAATAAAAAACAAGGTCAGATTGAAATTTGAACTCGGGTCTCCTACATGTCAGCCCAGTGTTATACCAGTGAACCAGGCCGGTAATTGAAACAATGTTGCAAACTGACGCCAGGCAGGCTTGATGTCGGGAAATGAATAACATCATTATTAGTAATAAAGCGTTTTTGAACAGTCAAGGAACAACCAGGCGTTACACAATGCGAGTTGCGTAACGAGTCAGTCATGATGATGATATATGGTGTTTTTTGGCGCAAGGGCCATTTGATGGCCAAAGAGCGCCAGTTCATGAGACAGGAATGTGGACAATGGTTGTGATTAGCGGCTGTATAAGGGCCATAAAATTCCTCGCAGTAAAGCGGGTAAAAACATACAAGTAATAAAATCATGATCATGCCGTGAAAGGTGTGTGTGGTGTGAATAGGTGACAAAAGTTGGTGATAATGAAAAACAATGGTAGACATGTATGGCATTAGCACAAGTACCTCACACGTTAGAACCCTTGCGTGCAAGGGCCGTGAGGCAAGTGCTTTTCTGTGTAGCCACTGCAGCAAAAACCTCTCTCGAGAGGTCGTGCTACGGTATGCCCGGGTATATGATATGAAAATTATGAATTTCCTTTCGTAACGAGTCAGTCGTCGAATGTTCTAACCCCATGACTAAAAGCTTCAGGCATAATGTTTTATGGTCTTCAGGCACGGAATCAAATAATTGCACAAAATTCCTTGCAAGTATGTAGCGGGTACCACAATTTTTCAAAGAATGACGAAGGATGGCATAGTGAATACCTCCGTACGAGATACAAACTTTGATTTATGGCGTATTGGGTACCCTGCAAACGTGGTTGTAGCAGTTACCCAAAGAGTGTTTAAGAAATGCTTCGGAAAGGCCGCTCTTCCAGCTTTCGCTGCGACTGCGCTGCGCATTGCACGCAGGCCTGGCGTTTTTTTTTTTTTTTTGTCGCTGCGGTGAAGAGGGCATGCAGAGTGCCTAAAAGAGAAAACTTCAACATGCCTCAAAGTAAGAACGGACGAATAAGGACGAAAACGAGGAACGAAATGGACACGCGTATGACGGACCACGAAACAGTGGACGCAGCCTATGATTGATTAGCCACTAATAGATGCTTGGCTCGGGTTTGACGTCAAAAATATTGCGCTAATGGGTTGTATTTATGAAAGGATTGTGGCTCCTAGCGAAAAGACCGCGTGAGAGAAATGATTCAAGATACATTCTGTGATCACAGGAAATGCGCAATCTCTTTTTAAGGCACCTTCGCAATAGAGGTGCCAAGCCTGAAGGAAATCCGGCGATGGGTAGCATTTTTTATTTCTCTTTCTTTGTTCGCCTTTTTTTCTTTATTTTCTTCTTTCCACTTTTTTCTTGATTTCTATTTATTTTGTCATCTCTTTATTTATTTCTCTTTCTTCGTATTTTTTAAAATAATTTCCCTCACTTCCTATTTCACTCTTGCTTTATCTCTTTATTTTTTTCAGCTTTAATACTTGGTTTCGCTGCGTTACCCGAAGCGCACTAGTTCTTTATTTTTTGTTTTTTGCTTATTACGCCACCATACTACAGCATGCCCTGATGCGCTATGCACTGAGTACGCCTGAGTACGCAACGTCAGAAAAGGCCTGGCAAGCGCAGAATGAGGAACGGCGAGCCAAACGCCTTGTCGGGGGCTCTCACTACGCGATTCAGTCCTCGATGCATCGGCACTCAGGCCGATGCATTAAGAACGCTGCTCTCGAGTCGTCTTAGCCATCGAGAGTCGGGATTTGCGCAACACCCGCGAGCGAGGCAGAAGACGCGCTTACGCTTCTAAACTTTGGGGTCCTTTGAGATCTCTCGAGACAGCTCCGAGATTCTGACCGAACGGAGTGCAGTAGAACACGAAGTCTCGGTGACGTACAGCTGCGTTTTCTGTGCCGCTATGAAATGCCCGGATGGCATTCACCGTCAGATTCGGCACGTGCCTCCCACTCAATAGATGCATTCAGACTCCAGACATAGCTCACCGGTGTTTGTCCCGAACGAAGCGGGCGTCGACGTCAGCTATGGTGCTTTCGGGCTTCCTCCATCTCAATCAGTAATAATAATAATAATATATGTGGTTTTACTTCCCAAAACTACACATGATTATGAGAGACGCCGTAGTGGAGGGCTCCGGAAATGCCGACCATCTGGTGTTATTTGGCGTGCACTGACGTCACGCAGTACAAGGGCGGCCTCTATACCATTTCGCCTCCATCGAAAATGCCACCGCCGCGGCCGGAATCGAACCCGCGACCTTCAGGCCACCAGCCGAGCACCCAATAGATGCTACTAATCCACCGAAGCGAACCCCATCGCAATCGGTGAAGCCACCAGTCAAGACAAGGTCGATACTGCAGTTCGATGTACGTTATATTTATTGATTTATTAAATTTATTTATTTATCTATGTATTTCTTTCTAGGTACTTTTCAGGTCCCAAGGCGAGCATTCAGTGAAGAGACGTGATACGAAATGTACGTATATAAACATACCAGATTGGACAACAGAAAAGAAAAAAAAATTGTGAATCCATAAATCAAAAAGAAACATTATAGCATATAATGCACGAGAAATTAACGTAACGGAACGCGCAAACAAAACGAATTTCATAGTAGCAAGACCGCAATGCACCATACGAACAAATAAAAGAGAATGAGGGGGAGCAGGAAAGCGGAACAAGAGAAATTCGAAGTGTCACAGCTGCTGGACAAAACGGAATGTGAAAAAGAAGGCATTTCTTCCCTACACATTACATAGTGATACCTGACGTGACATAATACACGTGAGCTGACGAACAGATCTGCTATGGTGATAAGTGCTTTAGACTTCACCTGTCTCAAGACTTATCTTGGACGCATCATATAACCCACATTATCAATTCAGCGAACAAAATGCTTGGTTACCTTCGCCGAAACCTTTTCATGGCTCAATCACATGTAAGATTACTTGCATACATAACGCTCGTGCGACCTAAACTTGAATATGCCTCTGCTATCTTTGACCCCCACCAATCTAATCTCACTAAAGCTCTCCAATCAGTCCAGAACCGTTCCGCCAGATTTATTCTTTCTGAGTACTCTTACCACACAAGCGTTTCGTCTCTAACGTATAAGCTGGAGCTGGTGCCCCTTGCCTCTCGTCGCCGCATCTTACGCCTTTGCCTCTACCACAGATTCTCACACCATGCCTCGTGACAGTCGGTTGATTCAACTGACTCATCGTACATCCCGAACAAGCCACCTGAACGCAGTAATTCCACCCCGTACTCGCACCACTACATTCCATCAGTCGTTCTTCGTCAGAAGTGCCCGAGACTGGAATGGCCTTCCAAAAGATGTTGCACTTGTACGTGATGCAGCACGTTTCCGATATACTATCGAACATACATGAATTGGTGCCTTTGGACTTGTCTTTGTGAAATGGATTGTCTTATTTTTATTGCCGCCATTTGTATCTACATTTTGTATTTTAGTCTAATTAATCTTTATTGTTATATTGTTTATTGTTTTCTCTTCACTTATGATGCCCACCCCTCATGTAATGTCCCTCAGGACCCTTGAAGTACCAATAAAAAAAGTAAGTGCAGGTTCCAGAGCTACCAAGAATACTTGACTTTGTGTGCTGGCGCCACCCGGGACAGCATCTACTAGCTCTCTGAAGTTTGCCAAATGGCTTGCTAAGATATGACGGAAGCTATCATCGTTAGTCTGGGAGTCAACGCGGTCAGGCAGACTGTTCAGAGACAAGTGGCACGTGGAAGCGCATAGTTACTGAACGCGCTTAGAGCCGTTTACACGGGCATAGATAAGACGAATGTGTTGTATGCCTTAATTTAAGTGAGATATGGTGTTTGCAGACCTGTTCCAGTGAATAAAGAGGAATGGCTAATTTTATGAAAAAGATAACGGCAAGGCAATGTCAGGGCGAATCCTCAAGTGTGTAAGGAAAAATTGCGCTTTTATTTGCGAGATACTAGAATGAAGACTAGTTATTTGAAATGAAGCGCCTTGGTCTACTACGGATATTCTTTTCAATGCATCAATTAGGTATTTTAGATGCCAAGACCAAATAAAATAGGCATATTCTAGTCGAGGGTGTTACGGAAGAAAATTTGCGAATGCTTGAAAGTGCAGCTTTCAAGTTACGGCTCAGGAGGTTTTGGCAGATATTGCCTTATTGTGGTCGGACCAGGACAAACTTGCTATGGAGCGATGTACACATGTGTACATTGCACGCACTACGCCAACGTAAAATAGTGCGCAATAAAAATTAAAAAAAAATGAAAAGTACGGTGAAATTTTTGTTTTCGTAACTTGCCGTATATCTCGCGCTCTAAAGCGTCAATATGTATTGATGGGTTCATTGGTGAGCCATGACACTTGATGAAGCAGCCCACAAAGGGACACAATCACGCACACATGTAATGACGCAGACTCAAGCGCTTGATTTTGCGTCCAGCGCTTTTGTTCGCGTCATTTTATGTGCGTGTAATTGCGTCCAGAGCGCGCTGCTTCATGAACTAGAGTATCACCACGGCTTATAAATGTCACTCTGCTATCCGAAAAAAAAAAAGGGGGGGGGGGGGCTAAAATCTTCATGCTACGTAACACTGAAACAAAACGTAGTTTTGAGTATTTTTTATATGACGGGCAATAGCGAACATAAACTGTCTCCTGCTGCTTATAATATTCAGTTTACCGGTGTCAGACACAGTCTAGTAAAACTCCAAAGTGCTGCAGAGAAGCCGACACTGTGTATTGCACGTCCGACTCTTGCTCAAGCGTACTGGGCATTTTGCGCGAAGCGGGACTGCAGTAATTGCAGCGAGAGCATGTATTAGTCAGAATGAGAAAGCAGTTTAGCACGCGCAGAGAGCCGCAAACGGCTCTTGCGAAGAGGGCGTGACAACGGCTTCGAGAATCGAAGGAATAAACGACGCTTACCTAAGAAATAGCTAGTTTGTTCATGCTTGCTGTAAACATGACGCTCGATTGTAGCTATATTCTTATAATCCTCTTGGGAAAAGAGGGAGAAGTTCACACTAGCCGTGTAACGCTGAAGAGACAGCGGAGCTGATTGATCTTAACGAGGCCTTCGCGGTTGATACTACAGGTATATCCTTGGCGTAGACAAAGCAGTTGAAGCGTAGCCTGTTACAGACCATGAAAGATTGTCTAAATCCCAACGACAAAACTAACGCGCAATGCTGGATGTGGCACATCTAGTAGAAACGCGGGCATTTTGTCGCTCGTACTTGGCTCGCGCCACGTCGAGAAACTCGGCGTGACGGCTGCACAGACTGTTTCCGTCGGTGAGCGCGACTGATGAGCTACGGCGCGGAGGGTTCTCTGCGGGCATACGACGTTTAACACCGAGCTTTAAAACTTCGCTCTTTTAAACAGGCGTAATAATGTCTAGAAGTGCAAGCCACTTCGGAACAGGCTCACGATTGTCAGCCTTAATCATATAGGTCGGAAGAAGAAAGTGGAACTCACTCAGACTCGCTCAAGAAATATGTATTTAGCTTCGGACTCACTCGGACTCAGACTGACCAAACGTTTTCCCGAGCTGGACTCACTTGCACTCGCCCTCACGAAAATTTTACTCACCCGGATTCACTCAGACTCAGACTCGATCTGAGTCAGAGCGAGACGGCTAGGTCTGAGTCGGAGCGAGTCAGCGCATGAGTGAGTTCACCGACTTATGGCCTCAATACGCACTTTAGCAGCTTGCTCATGATGGACAAACCGCGTCGAGTGATGTGGCTCAGCGTGTTTGCCAATCACGCAGCTTTTTCAACAGAGGCTCCTAATAACGTGAGCAACTCGTATGGTGCATTACCGGAGGTTTTTTTTTTTAACAGGAGCAATACCCACACTTGTAGAATACGAATACACGTGAACCCTGTAAATGCATTGTACCCACGTTGGCGTGTGTGTGCGCGTGTGTGTGTGTTTTGACACGATGATCAGGATGATCATCGTGTCACCGTAGATTTTGCGCCAACTTTCTTCTTTCGTTTAGTTTAAGTATCAATAAAGAAGATAAGAAGTGGTGATCAGGAATGACGAAAAAGCTGCATCTTTTTTTCCCCCAGCCGGTCTTTCTCTCCCCTCCCCTTTCTTACTGCCTTTTACCCCTCATCCACTCACCCTGAATACTAGCATGTAGGCAAATTTATGCTGACTGAACATTCCGCTTTCGATAAACAGCTTCCTCACTCACTGTCCCGCAAACCCTGCGCAAGATAAGAACAACATCGGTCCGCAGTATTGCTGACATATGCGCAATCCTAGCTCCGTATCGGAAGCCGTATACAGTAACTCCATTAAGCATCGGAGTGTCTGCGAGCTGTTCCGCTGTGCGATTGCGGGAAGCGAGAGCGAGGAATACATGGGCATACGAAAGCAACGCGTCTTCAGAGAGCACATATATCCAGACAAAAATGCATTTCCCCTGCCTACGCAGCCTGAAGACCGGTCCATCAGGCTAAGTTATAGGTTGCTATGCATCTGCCATAGTTACGTTACTTCAACTAAGCCGGTATTCACTGATTGAAGGGAACTATACGCAACACAAAAACAGAAGTACAGTGGCGATGCCGCACTGAGGCACTCCCTCATCTTGACGTATGAGTTCTCTGAGCATGTGCTTGAGACGTGCGCCGTTTCTTTGTGAATAAACTGAAACAATAGACTCTATAAACATTCGAAAATAAGCGAGAACTCAGAAAGGAGCCTTCAGCTGCTTTTTTATACGAAGAAGAAGACGAAGACCAAGTCAAAAAAGAAGAGAAAGAAAAAGAAAAAAGAAGAGAAAAGAAAAAAAGAAAAAGAAAAGAAGAAAAACAAAAAAAAGAAAAAGAAGAAACGAACGAGGAAAAGTAAAACCATACCCACATCATTGGGATCATATTTAAAAATGGCATCAAACACGCGTTTGAAGCCGCATGCGACCTGCGGCTTTGCACGGGATAAAGTTTTTTTTTACTTAGATAATAATACTCGCAATATTTTGTCGCCTACTGTAATTAATAGCTCTGTTGGGCTGAACTACAGAGACGGAATTGGTCTCAAGCATTTCTCATTCTTTTCGTGCGGCGCTACACGCAGTCAATAAGAGTTTAAACATCACCGTCGAATGAAAACTGTACACCCGTGAGTGTCGCTTTAAGACGTGCGTAACTCTGTCCAGAGAAGAGATTGTAGCCGGCGACCTGCCTCGCGACCTACCTACCTTGGCCAATTCCCCACCTTAGCCTACATAGGCATACTTTGGCCAAATCCCCAGAGTTTTCATGTGCCACGGTTTTCAGGCTACAAACAAACAGAGGAAGCACCAAAAATTTCAGCTAGAGAAGCACTGATGCTGTTGCAAAAAGTGTAGAACTTCGCTACCCAGCAGTGTTGAGTCGGAGATGGTTTGTGAGAGGTTTGACAAAGTTGTTCAGTTCATGACCACTGTAGTACTAAGTCTAGAAGTGCAGCAACATAGAGGCTTTTCAGTTCACCAAACTCCTACTTTAACAAACATTTTCCTGGTGTGACTCGAAGTTCGGTCAAGAGAAATTTCACTGTATCTTAAAATCGGCGTCCAGATGTTGTTCATTGTGGAAATTAGTATCGATACGTTTTTGTAAACCTGTCGTGAAATCCCCTTCACAAATGGCATATATATGGGATACGGTAAAGACATTCTTTTAAATAGCAAAGTTAAATGACACCCCCCCCCCCTCTGCAGGTATTCACCCCTTCCCCCGTTTGTTTCCACCATCTTCACAATCCCTGTCATTGTGGGACTAAATAATATATGAAGTCGATACGGTATTTCGAGTTAACTCAACGTTTATACATGTCCACAATGTGAAGAAGAACGAAGAAGTAAAACTTGGGAATTTCATGTCATACACGCATTTCTGTGACGCATCCACCGACCACAGAGAGGCCCCTAATACGGCATCAAATTTTCGCAAAGGTTGAAAGTTTCATGATGCGTAAACTACTCCATGTCGGCTATCTTGTCCTACACAGGGTTTTCATTCTATTACCTCGAAATTTGTGGAAGCTCTCACAAAATGCGCCTTTACACCTGTTTTTCCCCCGGGTGCAACGTATTCACATAGTTCAAGTACATTCAGATTCTACAAGCGTGGGTGTCTGTAAGCCCACGTGCAACTGGGCGAATTCATAGCACATCTGGGATACACACCCACGCTTGCGTAGAAACGCATGCTTATTCAAAATACTTCAGGGCACTTTTAAGCTTCTCCCACGATTTGTGTTCGGTACAAAGTTAGTACGTACGCTAACAGCGCTATATTACCGGCTCTTGTCAAATGAGAAAAAAAAGAAAAAAAAACGGCATTATAGGCCACCAGTTTAGAAACACTTTGGAACAAGGCACGCTGCTTTTACAAGGGCATACACGGTAAGTAGAATGCACCTCAAAAGGACATCGCGATAAAACGGCCAGCGCCCGTCGTCATGATCGAAATGGATGTGGGATGGCGCACGACCGTCTTCTGAAAGCCGCCTCTCCTATTCCAATACATAGTGTACGTCAAACACTTTGCGTTATTTTCATCAACCTTCCAAGGTTGTCG